GTCAGCTAGTTTTAATTGCTTTAACTTTTTTTAATATTGAAGGAACAATTATTTACGAAATGGTATGCCGAAAACTTATATATACCTTTATGAATTAGTAAATATAAATAATTTATATCAAATTGGATGATATGTGAATTTGAGATTGTCAAACGGAATTTAAAAAAATATTGATCAATAAAATTAAAGACTCAATATAACTAACTCATAATACAAATAAATTTCGAAAGCGTACAAGTAGTGCAAAATTTTGCCCGATAATACATGCTCAATTAGAGGCCGAACTGGAGGCAAAGCATAACGCTACTTTGCGTCTCTGTGAGAATTTATCAAATGTTATTTAATACATTTATTTTCCATTATTATTGAAATATTACGCTAATTTTATTAATAATTTGTATTTTACAATTTGTGGAAATTTCTCGCAGACAGTTGCCAGCACACTGATCACATCATTGTTCAGATTACATAATATTTTAAAATTACGAACATAAGCATACATAAATAAACATATATGTACATTTAAGCGATGTAATCACTGGTGAATGTTGATGGCATTGTCTGCAGGTTCATGAACTCCCAAAGCGATTTGCGCCCCCCACCCCCCCCAACATTGCGACATTGACGATGGCGAAATGAAAAGTTAAACCGACTAAAATTAAATGAATCGCAACCTTTTTTATCGCCCAACCATCGACAGTTCGCATGCTCTTGCCGACGCTGTTGTTGTTACTTATCCACATCCAAATTTGCTGTGTGGAAATTTTGTGCATGCAAACCTGTTGAACCAGCCACCACATACAGCAGCACACACCGCCGGCAATCAGACCAGAGCAGACTGTGTGACTTCAGCAATCGGTGATCATTGGTGACCATGCAGAGCAAAAGTGGACGCGCTGATGAGTTTTTTGCGCCATAGTATGCTGCCATTCACCAATTAGCCAGTTAGCGTCGATTTGAACGCTTTATGACTGTAGCTACGCAACGCTCGCCGGCGATTGCGTACAATTTGGTATTAATTCAGGTTGTTTTGCGTTTTAGTCATGTGACATCCCACACAGACGGCCGAAGGTGGTGCTGCGTTGACACGCATGCGTCGCAAAGGTGCATGAACCGTTACTGCGGCTGTCTTAATTGATAATATAACTAGTCATAAACGCACGTCGATAGCTCGCAGCAATTAAAAGTGCCACATTTTTTAGCAAACAGCTGAGTACTTTTGTAAGCATGCGTATAAGCGCAGCAACCGCTACTGTGCGATTGTGTGTGTGTGGGATTTCTATTAACGCTAACTATCTAAATATTTATATATAATATAAGCAATCACCGATAATTGCAATGACGAGGTTGCCATGTGCGAAAAGTTATTTTATTGCCTTTGAAATTAACGGTGTGTATTAAAATAAAAATTAACGCATTTTATTATGAAATTTATTAAAGTCATTAAATTGTATATGCTTATGTATATATTATATGTTACGTATATTTGTGTTATAAATAACTATAAAACCAGCTTGGCAGCCAATGGCTTCGCTGTTCATAACATATTGCCCCGAGTTCTCTTGTGTCCATTTTCGCCTGTTGGCGTTTAAATATTACTAACTAAATTGTTGTTGTTACATGCGAAAGTGTCCTTATCTGGCTAACTACAAAATGTATGTCTGCAATTAATATTATTGGTTTAAAAACTTTTACTTTGATACGAAAAGCATAAACATTTTTTTGTTGTGGCTTTTCACATCTACATAGTTTTCTCCACAAAATTTTAGGTTTTTTAATTTTTTCGAGCAAAGATATAATTTTTTACATGAATTATGAGTAAAAATTATCTGGCGGCAATTTTGTGCGAAAGTGCTGTATATGAGATGTTGTTGCAACAAGTTTGAGCTTTTTTTTGCGTCCATTTTTATTTGGTTGCAGTGCTGCCAACATGGTAATATGATACCAGACATTTTATTCCAATTTTTTTCAAATTTGAATTTTAATGACTCTGACAATAATACACCTGTTAAACTTCTATTATTTCGGCTCTCATCACAGACAGTAAAATGAAATTTGTATTTTGTTAAAAAATTGCTAATGAATTTCCGTTGCTGCGCACTTTAGTGCAGCTTTATAATGGCTTTGGCTTCACATGCGAAATTAATTATAACTGTGCTATTTCGTTTTATGGGCAATCGATCGGGCATCGGAAGTGATATGCAAATTTGTGGTTTAGAAAGGAAAGCGAGTTTCGGAAGACATTGAAAATAGTTTTTTTTTATGTTAAAGCGATAGATATTTGATGTGTTGAGAGGCGTACTTCGATTATTAAGTAGCATTTTGTTAATTTTGAACAAAATTGAACTTGAATATAATTTTTCGAGTTGTCGAAGTTATAAAAATGGCATGCAAAATTGCTTAGAAAAGAAATTTATAATTATTGAAAATATTTTTGTTCATTTTTTTAAAGTTGATTTTAATAAAAATATTATTGTTTTAACATTTTAACAGTTGACAAGTTTAACTCTTTTTTTTTTTGCACCAAAAAATAAAAAAAATCTTGAAATTGCTTTAGCCCACATTCTGGTAGCGCTTTATTTACTGCAAGCGTAACGGTCGAGCAGTCTGCTATACTCTGTCTAAAAAGTTTCACTTCAAAATTTTTAGACTAAAATGGGTAAAACTTTGAAATATTTCTAACTAATAAAATATATGCATATTAAAATTATTTTACGAAAAAACTGTGAAAATTGATCCTGCGATTATTGAAAAAGTTTGTGAAAAAGCACGAGAAAGAATAATTATAAGTTTTTCAAAAACATTTTCTTTTAGAATATATTATCGAACAAGAATGTGTATGACCTAAACGTGCAAAATTTCCTTAACCATTTGCCTTACGATTCAATTTCAAGGAAACATGGGTGTGGTAGTGCTATCAGAATATAAAAATAAAATATTTTATTTTAATGAATATATTTATAAAAATATGGATGTTATTTCATTTTTAGTAAAACATATATGGAAAGGCGGTTCCGTTGAAACTACAGTACTCTAAACACACAGTATAACTGAAAAAGCAAAAAAATTACAATTGTTTTGTTTTAAAAAATGTCTAGTACCGTTATCTATAATGAAAGAATTTGAGATAAAAAGAGAGACAAAATAATGTAAAAATATCATTGCAGTTGTTTTTAAGTTTCATAAATTTACTACTACTACTACTTTTGAAGCATTTAAATATATGGCGGGCATTGCCCGTCAATGTCGAATTTGGCACAGAAAATGTTGGCGGGCAACACTCGTCATTTCCACTCAAGGGGTTAAAATCAATTTTCAATTCGAAGATATCACTACAACAATATTTTTTAATGCAAAAAAGATTGCCAAATACAACAGTTATTTTTGAGTGAAATATTGTTTCGTAAAACTGAATTTTTTCCCCCGAAACCATTAGTGAAGCATTTCTATAATTCGCAATTTTCTTATCTCTGCTCAGTATATTATTTTTTCAAGGTTAACGTGATAAGCTCTTAGTTTTTTTCGAACTATCCACTGCATAGCTAATACTTCGAGTTCAGAATTAGTAAATATAATATATAGAAGTGGTTTTTGAATGTGTAATCTGCAAAATGCGCTGAATGAACATTTTTGTTGTCAAAGGTCTATACGTGTGGGTAAAATTAATTTCAAAACTGTATAAACGTTAGATTGATTTTAAGTTATCATGACGTTATTGTGGCGTAGACTATCATGATATTTTATAACGACTATAATTTGTCTATAACATTAAATGCTCAAGAGAGGTCAATGAAACGACGAGAAAGACTTGTGCAATTTTCTTTTGAACATCAACACAAAGTTTAAATATAAGAAAATGGAATTGAAAACTGATTAAAATCGTTTTTACTGTTCGTAGAGTTTGAGAACGGCTGTATAGGCAAATTTTGTTGAGAAATTTCAAAGAAATTTCAGATGTTCTAATACAAAAAATCAAAATGTGCCTTTAAACGCGATTTCTAGACCTAATAGGAATTTCTATTGTTGATTAGCCAGTTAAAAACATGACTCATCACATTCCAAAAATATTGTTTATGCCTTAGCTATATGATGGGTATTTACATATGTGTAAGTAAAAAGAACTGAATGATTAAAAAAAAACTTAAAAACTTCTGACGAATTCAAAATTATCGACATAAATTCGCTGCTAATCGAATGTTGCCCTCAACTAGGTAAATGAACGGATATGAAGGATTTTTAATCAGATATGCGCTATACGGAAACAGAAGTCTTTCTTTTCTATTCATAAAGAAAAAAATATATATATTTGTGAAGACATAAATAAAAAAAAATATAATAAATTTTAGTGTTTACTTTCTTTCAGTAACCAAATATGTATGTGGAAGCAACAGTTAGTGTTATTATAGTATCTTGTACGGGATATATTAAGTTCATGAAGACAATCGTTATGCCCAGAAAGTATAGGTAACTCTATAAAGTATATTTATATATCAGCGTGAGGAGCTCCATCGACTTAGCCAGTTATTTTTGTTATGTGTGCCTCATTTTTTGAGATATCAATCTCTAATTTCGCACACATTCTTTTTTGGGAAAGCTGCTCATTTGTCGGAGCCGCCGATATTGAATATATTGCCACTATAGAATATTTCTTTCAAAAAGCTTATACTTGTACATGTGAAAGCAGTCATTTTTATTTTACATTGAAGGCGATTAAAGCAGCACACTGCGTCTAGCGCATATTTTAGTAAAATAGTTCATACCAAATATTATTGGCAGTTTCGTTGATAGACATATTTACTTTGTATATTAAAATATTATCGCTGCGATAGCGATATGCCAGCTGATAACACATTTAGTTCGCAATATATTGATAATATTGTTGTCATAAACACATACACACACACACACACGCAAACAATCATTGCAGTTACAAATGAGTACAATATTTATGGCCAATGATGAGTAATTGCTGTGGAAACTTCGATAAATTCAAACAATGCTTCTTAGTCACAGGTAGAATATTTAATTTATTTTATTTAATATTCACATATATAAAAGCGTCAGCACTTTCGCGCAGCTCACTGGTTATACTTTTATATAATTTATGATATTTCTAATTCACATTTAAAATTGTCACAAGTGGTGCGTTTGTACGTCTTTAGCACGGTCCAGATCGCAGCAGATTCAGACTACGTCCACGCCGTTCCGCATCACGGCGCACGCAATCGTAATTGCAACGGTTCGAATAGGTCACCATGTTTGAGCCGCAGACTGGATCGTAGTTGCGGGGACAAGGGCAGAAGGGCCCATCCTCATCTGCAGCTGGTAAAGCGGTGGTCACTGTGGCGAGCAGCAATACGGTCAGCAGCAAAGATGTGATGAGTTTTAGGAATTGCATTTTGTTATTATCTTTATATATATATAGTCGTCTAATTATTATATAATATTGCTGTTGGCTTATTCTAGACAACTAGCGTTCGCTTCTTTATTGTAACTTTGCGTATGTAGTTTTGAAAATCAACTGAATTCGCTTGCTTAGCGCTGATAAGTTTATACGCTTAAATACTCGAATGAGTGAGTTATACGTTTGCGGTTCTTATCTGTCACATAACTAACACACGGGTGTTAAGTGTTGACTACCAAGTGGTAATTAGTAAACAATAAACATAGCGAAGTGAAAGGGGGATTTTTATGCGGGCTCGTATGGGGATTCTTGAAATTTAATAGTCGAACTTCTCAATGCAATAACTATTTAACATAGTGTGTTTGTGTATTTGGGCGTGGCACTTCAATGCACGTTTAGTTTTAGGAGCCGTGATTTTTCCAACTTCAAGATTCCCTGAATTTTCATTCAATGACTTTTAGATATTTAATGATATTTGCAAGCATATTCGCCATTAAAATGCTTGATGCGCATATACAATGCTGGTCCGATAATTAGAAACGAGTTTGAGATTAGTTATTATACCCTGAACAGCGCATATTACGTTTGCCAAAAAGATTGTGACACCTAGAAGGAAACGTCGCAGGCGCTATAAAGTATATATATATAAATAAACATTATGCTAGCTGAGTCGATTTAGCCATGTCCATCTGTATGTTCTTCTGTCTGTGTGTACGCAACATAGTTCCTCAGTTTTTAAGCTATCGAAAAGAAATTGCACACACGTTCTTTTCTCTTTAAGCTGGTCATGTATCGGAAAACTATAGAATATAGCTGTCATATAAACCGGTAGAACAAAGTTTTTGTTTGGAACTGTCAACTTGATAAGACATCTTCACGAAACTTGGCATGGATTATTGCCCAAGGTAACACTACAATATTCAAACAAATTACTCAGTTTGGACCGGTATAGCACATAGCTGTCATATAAACTTATCGATCAAAATTCAGTTCTTGGATGGAAAACGTTTTTGTTTGTGAAGGATATTCCAGCTTCGGTGCAAAGTTAACGTGTTTTCTTATTTAGAAAACCGATTCGGCTTATTTTCTCATCTTTTTATATAGATAATATATAATTCATATAATCATGTCGAACTATAAGACTATGAGTGTATATGTATAATATATCCACTTTGCGGCAATTTAAAATTAAATTGAGATCTTTTTTTTCGAAAATTCATATACTTGTTCTTGGTACCAAAGCCTTCCTAAGCTCAAAATTTCCAACGATTCTAGAATACTCAGCATTGATAACATATCTAAGCACCTAATGATACATTTTTAATTTTCTTTTTTCTTTTATTGAAATGCAGGCATTTGTGGCATAAATCAACGTCGTCTTTTTAACTATAAATTTTGGTTAAACTTTGTTTTGAGTGCTGGCAACTCTTCTTTAAAATTAGTACATCAAATAAGCATGTACCGGGTTTACCGGTATGAAGTGAGCGTTATGATACAAACGTGTTGGTAGGGAAAATTTGTTGTGAACGAGCCTTGACTTTTTTCTTTTTGGTTGACATGACATCTGTCAAACATATTCAATAACCTTACAGCCATTGAACAAACAACATCATATTTTTCGTTGTGTTGAAAATGTAAAATTTTGCATTAATTTTATTTTCATAAAATTTTTGTTTCCTTTTCCATTTTTTACTTTCCGATTCAAAATTAGTATTTCATTTTCACAAAAACGGTACATCTGGTATTTCACGAGAGATATTCTTGTATACCATATAAAGACTTGACACACATTTTAGAATATTTTTCTGAGAAGGCAAAAGTTAAGTTAAAGATCTCTAAGTATGACCCTCCTGAAAATTGCAGCGCTGATCAACATATTTAGCTCTCCAAATGAAATATTTATTCACGACTGCCAATTTTACAGAGAAAGACAGAGAGATATTTAGTGAACGTAAGAAGTCTCTGAGTTCTATGTACAATAATTCACTGACAATTGCAGAGCACTTGCAGAGCTTATGTATGGTCGAGCTTCCAAAGAGCAGATCGCAAGAAGAGCAGGTATAAAGAAACAACAAACATTAATTTTAAAGCATTGTAAATCAGAGTATTTAGCACTTTTTTATTTTTATGTAATTCATTTATTTTAAATTTAGCTTATATTTAAATTATATTTTTATTATTGTATCTTTTACATTTTATTACACTTCCTGTTGATTTAATCGAATTAATGTTTTTAAAATGTTTATGGTGTTATAACCATTTAATTGCATTGCATTTAGTTGTAATTAATTACTTATGTGGTCATACATTTTCACTATCATCATTATTTTTATAACAATTTTCGCAAAAACATTTGAACTGGTTAAAATGTCATTAGAAAGTGTTTTCACACCGTACATGTATTGACGTCTGTCATAGTGTTGCGACCTGTGCCACCGGGACTATGTACATACGTCCAGTTGTCCGGTTAACACCAGCGTACGCCTTTCGCCGTTGCGTGGCATAAACATGTGGCAAGCATAAATATGGTACAAACATATATGTATGTATATATGTATGTGTGTACCAGCAACAGCAGCAATTGTTCGCTTTATTTGGCATGTTGTTGCAACAAACAAGTGTTGTTGACTCCGAGCACTGCCTCGGTTCGCTGAAGGAGATGTTGTGCACACGATAGCCGAACGCGTCACTACCTGATGTTGTATTTGCTTTTGTTACTCAAAACAACAATGCCTTCCCTACCACCGCACAGTCGCTCGTTAACGTTCGATCGAAAGTTATTGTTGGCTCATGCCATTTTTATCCATTTTATTTCATTATCCATTTTTCCTTATTGTTTTTGCTACAGTTTAAACTCGGAGCAACTAGCAGCTTTCGATATGTATTGCTGTTAAAATGCAATTAATTTTCTGTAATCGATCGTCAAATCGATCAATATAAAATAACCAGCTTTGCTACTTTGCACCTTTTTCTGTTGAGCCGTTCGCGGCGACTAAGATTTTTCTCTTCGGCGCGCGTCGTAAAGGTGTTCGATTTTATGAGCCGCATTAAATTCAGCAAGGCCAAGATTTACGATTTCGTTTTCGAATTTTATTTGTAAGTTTTTCGAATTTTCATTAACCCATTTTGGGTTATTATTCTTTTGAGGTTAGCTGTAAAAACATTACAATACGGAATACATAAAGTTGGTAGAAAATCGAGGTTAGTTTCTTTTATCGAGATTGAAGAGGTGGTAATTATAAAATTGTTGGTCAGCCACGAAATAACTTCGAAGAAACTAATCTGATTTAATATTAGATACACTGCAATATGCGGTACAGACAGCTGCATATATCTGTTCCTATTAAAAATTAATAAACCAATTTATAATCCAATAAATTGGCACAGAACGCTTTTTTTCAATATAAAACTCAGTTATATAAGAAAACTGATTTAAGAAAACTAAAGAGAGAGAGTGACAAATGTGTGCCAATATCTGCTACAAATATGTTTCATTTGTCTTTAAGCATACTTGAATTCAAAAATACATTCAATCGATTGAAATATTTATCTGTCTTTTTTCTATAAAGATTTGCAGAACTTAGAAACAAACCTAAAAATCACTATTAAGTTAAATATTAATAGAAAATTTGGACATTTGTCTTCATTTAAGATTGAGATTGTTCTGCTAGCGACAGACAAATAGTTGGTCTTGTTTTCATTCGAAGAGCGATTTATCTTACGATGATGATTTGTTCAGACACACAAATAATTCAGACCAAAGTAGATAATTTTTGAAAGCACAAAAAGTCATAGTTGGAGAAAACCCATTGGAAAAGAAAAATAAAAACATAATTTACGGGCGATCTGAGATGGAGTAGAGGAAGTAGAAGCATTTTAAAAATGGTTTATTCCGATTTACGACAAAAATATTAGCCTCATGGATATAGGTAATAAAAATATCTACAACTTTTTGTATTTATACCTCTTTCACATAACCTCAAAATTTATGTGAAAAATTAAAAGAACCAAGTTTTTGGTTTTTTTATTTTTAAACAATACTTTAAAAAATTTTGTTTTTAAAGAAATTTGGACCGATTGGAAATTAACACACGACCTTCTTAGATACATATATTTGTTAAGCAATGTTCGAAGAAATAAATTTTTGACATTAATTTCGATTTTTTAAGCCTTTGGGAAGAAGGCATTTTGTTAAAAATTACAATTTTGATTAGAGTATCAATCTTTACCCTTATTCTACTAGCGTAATAATACTATGTTTTCGGTTTTGGATTCAAGATAACTTTTAGCAGAAAACGCCAGACACCTTTTTTCGGAGCTCCTCCTGGAGATCGGTTACGGATTTCTAAATACAGCGTCTACTAATATGAATGACTTGATTTTGACAGCTCATTGCAGCCATGTTTGTTTAAGACTTCGTTCAAATTTTATCAGTGTATTCAGTAAGGTTTGCCATTACATCACGTGACGTTTCACTTTGGCACAACGATTGGAAATTGTACAAGATTATTACGCAAATTCACAGATGAGACCCATTTCTTTGTCATCAAGCAAAATTGTTGCTATTGGGGTGTGTCAAATCCTCGTGTGATTCAGGAAACGCAATTGCATCCACAATAATTAACCGTTTGGTGCGGATAACCCGGCTTTATTTCTATCGAAATAAGACAGGAAATGCCGTTACCATCAATAGCAAGCGTTATAAGACGATATTAACCGACTTTTTTTCCCCGGAATGTGAGCAAATCGACGCGAAAGATCTCTATTTCTAACAAAACGGTGCGCCGCCTCACGTTCTACGTTTTAACATGGACACATTGGTTCAGTCAAATGGCCGACCAAGATCATGCGATTTAACGCCTATAGATTAATTAATATAATATAAATAATAGTTAAATCAAAGGTTTGCGCTGATCAACCAGCAGGGGTTGAGGAGCTCTACGACAACATTCAGCTATAGTTAAAATTCTAACTAAAATTCCAGCCGAAATGCTATACCGAGTCATCTTAAATTAGATTAAACGGAGCGAACGGAGCCGTGGTAACCATTTGGCCGACATTTTATTCAAATCATAAATGGCATAAAATTATCTACACTACAAAAAAACAGAACCCATTTTAACTAAATTTGAGTGTTTTATTTCATTTTAACATCACGTAGTTCTTGTTTGTAGACTCTTTATATTGTTACAGATATACAGCTATCAATCAACTCTAAAATATGTTGCTAGGATACTTTAAGACACCACACACATCCTATAAACCTTCCTTAGTTGATTATTCACAAAAGGCATAGCATAACATTATAGCAACCATTATATTATATAGTATTTCACTGCTTTGCGTGCTAACACCATCAATTAGTTAGGCGTTCGATTGGGCAGAGGATAGCCTTTTTCGCATTTTGGGAGGATTCCGCAAATATGAACACAACTATAAATTATAGGAATGCCGCTGTGCTTTCTATCTGGTGAACTAGATCACATTCCTGTACCAATAAAGCTTTAATTATATGAAGTAGATTTTTTTTAAACAAAAATTGCACACGTAGAGTAGATAATTATGTAGTATATAAAAGAGACTATCCAAGGAGTAAAATCGTTGTCTACATCATTAACATCAATTAATTTTGTATTTTTATTGCTATAACCACAACGCCCTCAACAACCACTAATAATAAGAACACCCTAGCTGTTGAGAGCAACAATATTGGGTACAAAAAAAACAAGGCAACAACAAAAAATATGCTATAATAAAACAAGTAATATTATGACACGCCCTGAGCGACATCGAAACGCAACGCTGAAGTTTGTTTTGACAATTTCGCTGACAACAATTGAAAGTGATTTTCTTGCTTTTCCGCTTTTCGCTTTCCGTGAAGCGGTCAAACAAGCGCGTAAGGCAATTAAAGGTGGCGCTTTTGGGCGTTTATTTTCAGTTGCTTGAAGAAAAAAATAAGACAAAGCCACCAAAATAACGCTTAATATACTAGTAAACTTTTCACTTTTCAACGCGCATATGAAATGCAAGCGACTATTTACATACTAGTCATGCATACAAACATATATACGATACTTATAAAGAAAAACATACTTACAAACATACGTGTGAGTGCATAAGTATGTCTGTTTGTTGTTGCTTTTGAGGTAATTATTAAATAATAAGCTAGTAAATAAGCAGCGAAACCAGAAGAAGAAATAATAAAGGCAATAGACGAGTTATACACATACACACACAGAGATAAGTGTGTATGCAAATGCATAAAGAGTCGTTATTATGTGCGTGTGTGTGTGTAGTCGAAGCAAACTATGCGCAGACTTCCGTAGTCTCTTGCCTAGGCGGCCAGTTTTTTATTTGACAGACTTGTCGCCATGTGCAGTTAGACCCAAACTGACGGGCAAGCGCCCAGGTCATAATTGGGGGGTATATTATATTTACCGCCAACTATGTATTCATACATATATGTATGTGATTGCTTGCGTTAGTAAAAATTAAATGTTTTACGCTTAAGACGTCAGCTGCTGTTGGTTTTTCTCTTTTTCTCCTCGCCACTGTTGACCGTTTGTTGGGGTAATTAAAATTATTATTATTTCTATGCTTATTTTCTCTTCTTGTTTATAATTCCTGTTGTCATTGTCGCTATCAAACGGGTAATGAATAATTGCCACGCAGTTTGCAATCAATTTTTTTTTGTCGAGTCTTTGTTGTTGGAAATATGAACGCACAGCACTTGGCTGCATATAATTTGCCGACTGCCAGTTTTTAGAGTATGAATGCAAAAAGTTGTGAAAAACTGGCAATTGGCTGGTGTCAACAGTGAAAAGTTGCGTTTTGAAAATGAAAAGTGAAGTGACCTAGAAACAGTGGCATAGAAATGTTACAATTGAAATTCATTCGTCTTCTCAAACCGGTTTGCAGAAATGAACTGTTAAAGAACTTATTCTAATTTGGAATTAGCATTTTGGTATTGAATACCTCGCTCTGCTAGTTGCTCTTGCCACTTAGTATGAAGAGTGCTTAGGTATATATATACATACAAATATATATTTTGCGCTTATTTATTTTTCAGTGCAACAAATACAGAACAACTTAAAACGGATTAACAGATTCTGATTAGAATTCGAAAAAACTTAAGCGAAAATATAGATGTGCTCTAATGAGTGCAATCACTTTAGGTAAAGTTATACAAGCCTAGGTGAAGTCAGAAACCACCTGAAGTTGGATCTTATAGTTGGATCAGTTAGTTCCCTAATGACTGAATTAGAAGGCGACCAGTCCAGAAGGCAGCGTTGAGATAATTATATCTCACCTTCATCTAAAAAAGTTCGTTATGCGGTAAGATTTTTAATCTGACCACGTGGACATCTGAAGTAATGAACAAAAATAACACCAAAACTTTTGAATCTTATATTAATCACAATATACGGGTTCAAAATATATTTTGTGGAAAGCAGAAAGAAAACGTTTGAAAACAATATTTAGCATACGCTTTAGTCCATACTTAGATAAAATTATTCGAACCCAATTTCTTTCCAAAAGGTGGAGTAGGAATATAAATTCCTTCTTCTTCGAAATACAATATTTACTACTCGGTTTGATTTGAAAATTAATATAAATTTATTGTGAACATAGATAGTAAAAGTACTCCTTAAATTACAAATATGACATTATTCCGCTCTAAAAGTATAATAAACATATGAAAGGCAAAGCAAAAAGGGTAGAGATGGACAATAAAGTTTAGACGACCAGTTGTTAACTGTTGGTGTCGAAGGGTTATACTTTCAAAACTGTCATTTAGAAAGCATATTGTGCGAATATATCTGGAACGTACTTTATCCTTATTAGTTGCAGCCACTAACTGTGGTCACCGTTGATTGCTTGACAACCTAATTGGTGGTTGAAGTTTGGCAGTCTAAATGTCAGTGTTAGTGTAAAATGTGCTTAAAAGTGAAAAGAAAAATTTGGAAAAAATAATTCTAAGATTTTTCTCTATTAAACTTCAATATTCAGCTATAATGAATTCCAATTTAAACTAATTGCTATTAAAAGTTTTTCTTCGTGTCTTAATTGGTCAAACTTGCAGGACTTTCCGAACAAAATTAATCTAATAAGAAGGAAAACTCGTTCAAACAACTGACAAAGATATGAGCTATGGAAAAGAATCTTATATCGAAATGGATAGTTTGAAGACATGGGTTTAAATTTGAAGCTAGCTTGTTTAAGTAAAAAAGTTTTTTTTCAGATAATTAAATCTGATCTCTTTGCAAAACAAAGAATATACTCTCAGTGTGACAGCCTAAACAAACTGTTGTATCGATTGTTTTAAATTTGTAACGGTATATTAACACATATTTTAAAAATACACAGTAAAACGTTTGAAAAAAAAGCTAAATATTTTTCGAGTTACGCGTGTAAAAACAATCGTTCTTCGTGGATGAAATCTAAAAAAAAATTCTCCTCTAGATGATTTTGTCCGTGCAATTATCTATGATTCGAAAAAAAGTTAAAACTGATAAAAGGGCAGCGTTTTTTAGAGACGTTGAGCTTTTATACAAAATTTTAGTCGTTTAGGGCGATTTTTGCTTAGATTGAAAAGCTCAGCAAATTCGAAAAATGCTGCTCATTGAATTGAAATACTACGCTTTAGAAGGTTGTAACTGATTTAAAATTTTGGTAAGTTATTTTTAAAGTTGTCGACGATCGGAATTAAAAAAAGTCGTTTTTTGTTAAGTTTTCACTGGATATGCCCCTTAAACTTTTCACAACGAATTCTATGCAATTCAACACTTTGGTGTATAGAATGTTGCCTACTTTGTCCCTTAACTCGATTTAAGCTATTATTATATACTTTGTAATATCTATATAATTTAGTTTTTCTATTTATTTAATTTTTATGGGCTCTGAACTTAGTAAAAAATATGTGTTTGTTTAATAATACAATTCAATTTAAATATTAATTTCGTAACTTTAAAGTTTCGCTACAAATTTAAATTATATAATACTCGAGAAACTAAATTATTTCATTTTTAGCAATTTTTGGTAAATAAATAGAGTTTTTTTTTTAATATTTATATATTTTATGTGTGTATGTTTGTATTAAAAACATTTCAACTTTCAATAATCGATATTGCGTTTGTGCCGTCGACAATAATAATAGTGCATGGATAATTATGAAATAGAAATTCTATGTGTTATCAAAGCATTTATTTGTTGCTGTTTTTTGTTTGCTTCTTTTCAAATTTAAACTTTTTAAATACAAATTAAACACACACATGCTGTTAAGTGTTAGAAAGTGAATTTCACTTTTTTGCATTAAAAATTAATAAATAAACAAAAAACGAAATGAGTTGACACTCACCAATTGTTGTACAAATGTAGCGAAGAACTGTAAAGAAAAGAAAACACAAACAAAGCCAAAAATTAGTAATTTATTTACACATATATATAGGCAATGAATGAATGGCTGGTGTTTAAAAATTGATTATAAATGCGTTTGCATTGTTTTTCTCTTCATTATTATTGCTTTTTATTTGTTGTTTGTTGGGTGTTTCCGCGTACAGATTAACTGCGCGCTGACTTTTAACACTTGTTGGGTGGGAATGTGTGAATGTATGCAAGTTGTGCTAGATGTATGTTCGCTTATTAGGGTGACCCAAAAAAGATATTAAAAATCTAATTTATGATTTATGGATTAAAATTTAAATTTATATAGAGAAAAAATATACCTGCAAGACACCATTTTAAGCTTAATTTTAATAATAATCTTAATTTTTTCAGTGAGTATTCAATCCATTTGAATAACACGTAAAAAATATGTTTGCATTACAAAAATCATAACGTTTGAAGCGTTTAGGATAAAATTTTTTACATCGCGGATTCTTATAGAACATAAAATTTTCTTAGAAAAGATTTTTTTTATTTCCAATTTAAAAATTCGTATATTTAAAAGAATCGGCAATAAAAAATAAAAATGTTTTCCATGCAGGCACTTTACTCCGATCGTTCAGTTTATATGATAGCTATATGACATAGCAATCCGATCTAAAAGATTTTTTCGGAGATTATATTCTTGCCTTAGAAAATAACTCATGCCAAATTTCGTCAAGATACGTCGTCAAATGAAAAAGTTATTCAAGCAAGCACTTTACCCCGATCGTTCAGTTAATATGGCAGCTATATGTTATAGTCATCGGAACTTGCACTATTGCTTTAAATAATATTCTTTGCCAAATTTCGTGAAGATACCTCATCAAATGAAAGAGTTTTCCATACAAGGACTTGCTTCCGATCGTTTAGTTTGTATGGCAGCTATATGCTATAGTCATCCAATCAAAACAATTTCTTCGGGAATATCATTGTTACCTTAGAAAATAGCTCATGCCAAATTTCGTGAAGATATTACGTCAAATAAAAAAGTTTCACATACAATCACTTAATTCGGATTGTTCAGTTTGTATGGCAGCTATATGCTATAGTGGTCCGATATTGGCCGTTCCGACAAATTAGCAGCAGGACAGGTGCAAATTTCAGATCGATAGCTTAAAAACTGAGGGACTAGTTTGTATATATACAGACGGACGGACGGACAGACGGACGGACAAACGGACATGGCTATATCAACTCAGCTCATCATGCTGATCATTTATCGTTTCCTTCTGAGTGTTACAAACTTCATGGCAAACTTAATATACCCTGTTCCCTGTTCAGGGTATAAAAATAGTTAAAAATGTTATTTATAATCTAGATGTGCTAAAAAAAGTTCTTGTCTTTATAAATTTTTTAATGCAAAAAAACAGCTGATTTGAAATCATTTAAAAGAAAAATTTATTTTTGAAATTAGTAACGGTACTAATTCTGAGAAGTTTTGTTTTAATTTGAAGGCAATCCTAAATTTTTTTAATATAAAAATATTTTGTTAATTTATTTTTGGTATGTACATATGTACCTTTGTAAAACATTTTGTAACAGCGTAAAATTATGCCTGGGTGTTAAGTCAATCACAAATAAATTTTTAAGCAGTAAAAGTCTTTAGTTATTAAATATTACGAATTTGCTTATATCTATGTATGTATGTACGTACTGCAAATTGTTTGCACAATACATCAATGCCCTGTCGGTCGGTGGCGTTAAGTGCTATACGAGTTTCAGCCCAAAAATATGCAAGATAGGAATATACATATATACATAAAGTTTAAGTGAGAATATATACTGACAAAAAAAAAAGTTAGTAGAAATCTCTTCCTAAGAATTATATGTAATAATTATATATTATATTTCTACGTTTTCTGTTATTAAAATAAGCACAACAAATTAGTATGAAAATATAAAGAAATACAGAGACTTTTAGTAGTAAATTTATTATAGAATTATATAATGGGTGTTTTTTCTATAAATCATCTATATCGCCTTAAAACATCTTGTATATACCTAATTCCGTACTAAATAGTCTTCATATTTCCTTATATTTTACACTAATAAATTTGAAGTATGACTCCTGCTAAAAGTTCCTACAGGCCACATTCGTATCCTCATAAACATACAAGGTTGCATTTGCTTTTGGCAACAAGCATATATGGACATTAACTATATGCCATTTTCAAATTTATGCCATTTTAAAACGCATTTTAAACTTATGTACACATATTATTTTTACAAGTTTTGGAATTCGACTTTTGAATAGAGTTTTCACGCCCGATTTCTTACAAGCTAACTTACTCGCATATACTTGTAAATATTTAAAAAGCAATAAACTTTGTTGCTATTTTGACAGTTGTCTCAGGCGAGTAAATTAGTGGGAATTTTTATGGAATTATGTTGATATATTACTCGTATATAAAGGTATGCTTTTGTTTGAGTGTTTAGGTTGTGAAAATACATGCGGATATATTTATGAATATGTGTTTGATTCCGAATCTCTAAAGTTATTTTTTTGCAGTTCTTGAAGTAAAAAATCATAGCGTTCTAAACAAAAACAAAAAAGCCTTCTCACTATTATTTCGCGCTTAAGAGGTTATATCCACTTGCAAGTCAGACAAAATGTTTTGATTATGAATTTTTTTTGAAGAGGCTATAAAAAATAATAATAAAATCGGTAATACATGCAGAACAATTTTGGATTTCCTTGATCCCGTAACCGATCTCCCGGAGGACCTCCAAGAAAAGGTATTTGGCGGCGAAGGAAATTTTCTGCATATTATTATCACAAATCCAAAAATCAAAAAAGTCTATTCTATGTGTTATGTAATGTTCAAATGACTACTAAAAAATTTTATTTTTGACAATAATACGATGAGTGTGCCGATCAGTCAAGCGGTTTCAAAGAAATTTTTTTCACCGTCGTTTAAAACAGGATTTCTAGAAAACACGCTTTTAAACTTTTTGGAGCCGACAGCTCCAAAACTATTTGCCTGGTCAATTTCAAATTTTGGGAGGATATTTTCAAATCTATTTACATTCTATATCAAAGTGAAAACAAAAAGCCAATGAAAAATGCATAACTTTGACAATTAATTTTGAGACTTTATGATGACACTTCGATAGAAGATGGTGTTTACAAAGCCAATTTTCGGAATAATTGTTTTTAAGAGGGCCTGTACGGGCGATTGTGATTCTAGGAACTCTTGGTATCTGAATTAAAATAAAAGTCGAAATATAATTTTACATAATATTTACTAGTTAAGTACACATATTTTCGACCATCTATAAATTTGACTTGAAAATAAGGCTTGGTTGCAATCTTAACAAAAAAATCTAATGAAGTTTAATAGATAAAGCGACATAAAATGTTACAGTTATAATTACAAATGGGTTTGAAAAATGCAGTTTCGAGATTCTATACAAAAAAAAAAATAAAGTTGATATTGAATAAAAAAAAAAAATAGTTGGAAAAATCATGATTTTAAGCTTACAAAATAAAATTTTATCAAGTAATCAAAGCCGGTGAAATAATGAAAATCATTTATATAGTATATGGAAGTTTGGGTAATTCGTTGAGCACTTGTGATTAAAAAAACTCTTGAACTATGACTCTTTGATTATCTTATAACTCTTATGCTTTATTGAAACATAAATATATTTACATAGGTTTGTTGTTTAATAAATGGTTTTAATAAATATATACATATGTATTACTGTTCACGTACTTATATATGTTCTGATTATCTGTTCGACTCTGACTCACATTAAACAAAAACAGAAACAAATTAAAGAAATTCCCAGAAACTGATTATATTACACGCGATTGATTATATAAGTGCGAGTATAGAATTGCGGGGTTTTGCCACATTGTAAAATCAGATGATAATACTTCCCTTAACACCCTGTGTATTTAAATAAAAAAAACCAGCGATATTTGTTCCTAAAATAATGAGTATATTGTCACCGGTCGAAGTATAGAGGAAATTTCAAGAAATTAGAGAAATTTTTAATTTTTTTTAGAATTTTTTTTTAAACTTTTTGCAATGTTGTTTTTGAATTTTAAAAAAATTAAACTTTTCAAAAATTAAAGTATTTTAAGGTTAAAACCCAAACTTGTTATCTAATATTAATAAAAATATAAATATATAATATATATGAATATGTAAATTATATAAATATATTAGAATCTGTAATTTTTAGGCACCTTATTTCATTTTTGTTTTCAACTACAAAACTAGCCTAGAAAAAACTTTCAAGAAAGTAAAAACAAAATACTCCTAAAATTTGAGTTTTTAATATTAGTATTTGAAATGTTATGAGAAAAATTTTTTCCGTATTTTCGTAGGTTGAAAGTAGTGTAGCTGGTTGAAAAAAAGTTGTCTAAAAATGTCATAACTATCTTATAAGTACAATATGTACATATACAGTTTAAGAAAAAAAAATGTTAGTAAAATTTCGCAAAAATATTAAAATTTCAACAAAATTGTCAACTAAAAATGCTAAAAATTCCATTATTTAGCTAATTGAAATTCCAAATTGGCAAATATTTTGATTAAACTGTTAAATATTGTGCGCTGGTAGCAAAAATTGTTATTGTTGCTGGAACAATGAAATTACTTGAGCAGCAAATTATAATAAATAGACAAGCAATTTCAATAAAAAATTTGCATAACAACGTTGCCTTTGTTGCTGCAAAGGCCATTGCGTCACACAAAATTTTAGCGCCGATTTTAACGGCTATTGTTAATAGATTTTGAATTAATAACTGATTTGAATGATCTTTCAAAATAAAAATGTCACATAATAAACCAAACTTGGTTAAATTCATTTTGATGATTGTATTTAAGCATAACGATTCTTTTATTTATTAATCGTAACAATAATTGTACCTTGAGCCAACAACGAGGTTCAAACAAGTCATCGCTTGGGTGCATAAGTATTGCAAACCGTTCAGTCACTTTGGATTAAAATTTTTTTTTCAGATTTATGTCACAAGCGGTTTTCAATTACACAGTCACTGCTTGTTGACCTGAAAGTGGACAAAGCGTATGTGCCGATCAAGCATACATATTGAGCTGAAGAAGTAACGGCTAATTGCTTGCCGATTAAGTGAGAGCGACAATGTTGTTGTATTTTTTTAGATGACCTCGTCATAAAAGCAGGTCAACCCAAACGAGTCGACACGTTTATGCCTTCACTTTCATATGCAACGCCGCATAAGTGAGGTTATGCATAGCAATGTGTGGCGTTTGAATTCGTTATGGATGCTCGCTAATCGGTGTGACACGAAGCACGTGCTGTGTGAGAAAAAAAATTAACACAAAATAAAATAAAGAAGTAAATACATCTTGTAATTTTTTCAGAAGCATTTTGGCGCTAACTTTTTAGCAGTTGCGGTTCTTAAGTATCCAATTGTTTACTTATTGAATCACCGCTCTGCCCTTCACAAATACAAACTTTCCATAGAACAACCAGAACTTGATCAGTCAGTTTATATGCCTACTGTATGCTATAGTGGTCCGCTCTAAACAAGTTCTTTGAAGATTGAACGGTTGCCATGGACAGAAATCCATACCAAATTTCGTGAAGGAATCAAAAAGTTTTCCATACAAGAACTTGATTTTAATCGTACAGTTTGTATGGCAACTATATGTTATAGTAATCTGATATCGGTGGTTCCGACAGTGAGCAGCTTCTTGAAAAGAGAAGAACGTATGTAAAATTTCAAATCGATATTTCAAAAACTGAGGGTCTAATTCACGTATATACGTAGATACGACCATAATACTTGTAATCTTTACGAAGGAAATACTCTACTTTGAAATTGTTGACAATGTACCCTTTTGAAAGGTCATGAATGACAGAGCTCAGCTTTGAATGATTTTGGTAAGTTAACCGAAGCAGGCTTTGATTAAAATTGAGTCGTTGTGGTTATTAATATTGAAGATTTTGCGAGGAAAAATAATATTAGGAGAAAAATAAGCGATAAGCATCCTATTAATAAATTATAATATCATGCGGAGGCTTTTTTCTCCAGTTCTCGAAAATACTGCATTTTATTGTATTCTTTTGCACTACAAAAATATCACATTGGAACAAAACAAACGAATACAAAAAAACCTCATCATGCTTGACAAGCGAAACGAGAGTACCCAACAAGCCAACTAGCATAACAACTTGAGTGAAATCGTCATTTTTATTACCCCTAACCCCGTATATGTTTTTTGTCTTTAGTGAGGTGCATTGTTAGCATGCAAGTGGAGTCTGGTGAAAAATCTGTAAGATAAGTTGTTTAAAGTTTTTGCTTTGTTTTTTATTTTTTTGCAACGATGGCACACTTTGCAAATTTCACTTGCAGAGGCGAAAGCAGAAACCCCACAAAAAATAGCAGACTGTCGATTAACAGATGAACAAGCGCAGAACCGTTAGTTTTTTTAATCGAAAAATGACTAAGCAAATTCATTACTCAACGCAGTAGAAGATCTTTTCAAAGGTCAGAATTGTATTAGACACTCAGTATGTACCAGCCGGCAGGGAGTCAAAATTGCTGCGTCACTACGCCACTACATTTATCTGAGTTTTTTTGAAAGGTTTTGCGTTAGAAGACGCCATTAGTGATAATCTATACCAAGTTTTGTAAAAATATTGCGTTAAATGCAAAAATTTCCATACAAGTACTTGATCTTGAACGTTCAGTTTGTATGATAGCTATATGCTTTAGTGGTGCGATCTGAACAATATGTTCGGATATTGTAATATTACCTTGAACAATTTGAACAATAACTTAAGACAAATTTTATGAAGATACTTTGCCAAATAAAAAATATTCCATGCAAGAACTTGAGTTTGATGGGTCAGTCTGTATAAGAGCTATTGTATAAGAGCTACAGTGATCCAATATTAGCGGTTCCGACATATGCGCAGCTTTTTAGTGAGAAGAAGATAAAATTTCATATCGATATCTCAAAAACTGTGGGACTAGTGCGCATAGATACAGATAGAAGGACAGACAGATGGACAGGGCTAAATCGACTTACCTCGGCTCGCTGATCTTACCATATACATGCATATATATATACTTTATAGAGCATCCGACGTTTCCTTTTGGGTGTTACAAAACATCCCGCCATCGAACTTAATAAGCAACCTAACCAAATTGAGATCTAAGAAAGTGGAAACTGCATATTTGTGAACATTTTTAAGTGATAACTCTAAGAACACCAGCGATCTTCTAGCTTTCAGCAAAATACCATATCTAAGAAGCATCTTAAAAGTCTGTGAGTGGTGAGAGGAAATCGTTTTATAATCAATGCGTTTAAGTACTGCAGGAACAGCTAGATAATGTGCAAAAGTATGTGATGTCATATATGTTCCTTCAATTATACATACGCGTATATGTATATATATACACATACAATATATATAAGAGAAACAAACAGATTCATATACACATGCATACATTTATAAATATTATGAATAATTATATAAGAAGAAGCAAGAAAATATTTATATTACAAAGCAGAGATAAGAACTACAATATAAAAATTTAAAAATGTAATACCCTACAGCCGTCTCGGAATAGCTGTCGAATTATTTTATAAGGAATCATAATTTTACGAACATATTTTAAAACGTTTTTGTATAATATTTAAGTAATTCATACATTCTTGAAAAAAATACACTAGTAGAAAATAATTACCGTTAAGCGGGTTTCTTGCTATTGTACGAATAGAACAGCTGAACAACTAACGGTTACATGATTCCTAAGTTAGATAATTACAAAAATCAAGCCTATAAATATATTTCTTTGGTAATGAATTTTATAAAACTTTAGCGGACTTACATATGTATATGTAGATATATATAACGAAAACTGGTATGCATGTATCGATAACACTCAGAACGTCTACTGTAGGGTAACAATACAAACGCATAAAAGCTCCGAGTTTGCAAAATATTTATTTCGACAACGACAGCCACGGTCTGCACAAGTGCTGTAATTGTTTGTGCTTATTTGAAACTCAGTTAAAAAATTTCCAAAAAAATTAAAATGAAATTAGCGATTTTATTAATATTTTGTTTAATGCAAATATTTCTAATTGGAGGCCAAATAAATGAAGAGCGTAAGTGTTATTTACAAAAAAAGAAAAAAAACTCATTTAATGACCAGTGCTGTAAAATTTTTTCCACACCACCAGCCTCACCAAATGTTTCTGGTGGTCAAAAGTATTCTATTATATTACAAGCACATGAACTCACAAAACCAGCACGAACTCATACTGGTAAACCAATTGAACAACTAAAACAGGAAAATAATACTGAGAGACCATGGTTATATCGAGTTTTTAACATATGAGCAACAAGCGAGATGTAATAAAATATAAAAATAATAAAAGTATTTGACTCTTGCAAGAGAAACAACCAAGTTATTTTCGTGTACTTATTTATATAATAAGTTGTTTCAGTCAAAAAGTTTAGTGAGCGCCGACACATAGAAAACTTAGTGAAAAATAGCATAAAATTTGTTTATGAAACTTTAAGAGGCAGTGATCGTTTCAAAAGAAGAGTGGTTTTTGGGATTTTCTTCAGGGAAAATTACTGAATGAAAAGTTTGAAAATTTTGAATATGTCCATTTTTATAAAACAAAAAAAAAACAAATTACTTTCAGTTTTTTTGTAAAAACAAACTCGACTGTTGAAAAAATTTTAATATAGCATAATGGCGGACTTTGCAAAAAAATTTTGAATTTCGCTCAAAAAAGAGATGATTTTTTGCTGACCAAAATTATATTTGGATTGTACTGAGAAACATGCACAAAAAAAGCAAAAAAAAAAATCAAAGTAATTGAATGATTTTTCTTTCGAGTTAAAACTGCAGCCAATTTGAAAAATGAAGATTTGTGAAAAACGCGTTCAAAAAAAAAAATTGATGGAGCTGATTGAACTGCGCTGCTACACTTTAGAAGACTGTGACTTAAAAACTATTTGAGATATCGATTTAAAATTCCTGTATGTTGTTTTTAAAGTTATAGATTATCGAAATATGCAAAAAACAAGAAATTAACTTTCTCGAAATTTTACACTAATGTGTACGCCTTAAAGCGCGAATAAATTTTTGTTGTTTTATGAACGTTCAAAAAGTTATACAAAATATCTATAAAATATATAAAATTTGAAAGGTTTTGTTCGGCACTTCGACCAAAATGTTAAGGCTTCGGACTCCATCGTGCATATGTATTTTCTTCAAAGCGAACGCCATCGACGCGAACTAACTAAGTAAACGTGGGAGTAAAGTAGGAATTGAAGCTCATACGCATTTCACTAAAGGCTTATCGTCAGCGATTTCTAATGTTTTGACAACTCAGACGACGATTAATGCGGAAAGAGTTGTTGAAAGTGTTATTTGCCTTTTTCTAAATGACGTTGTTGGTTATGATGCCCAGTCTGGTATAGGTTGTGTAAGATATCGAATATGGCTACTATATAGCAATTTTTTAGTGATTTGCCAAAACAATCGCAGCAGATATTTATTGGAGAAAAGTTCGATACACTCCTTAACAACTATTTGAAGGCCTCGTTGTGTGAGTGATGTCGAGAAGATCAACGTTTCGTTATTTTCTTTTAGAATATTTCTTTAAAAATCACACATTTTCGAAAAGGTTAGAAACTTAATATTTTTTATTACTCTACTAGATCTACAACATACTAAATTATTCCAGGTTTTTTAAGTGAAATCATGTAAGCAAAGGTTGAATTTTTTGAAATTGTTTAAAACTTAAAAAAAATATTCGAAAAGACAGAAAACCAGTTTAACTTTTACCAGCCGAATCTAATATCGATTTGTAAGATTTCGAACGGTTTGAAAGTAGCGCATTCACACAATTAATTACATGAATACATATATAGATACATCTGAAGATGCTAAGAAGTTGCTTTCTGCTTTGCAACTGGGCTGAGAGGAAAATTTTAACGATTTATATTTAGTGTGAAAAAAGCAGAGTTCACTGAGCTAAAGCTAAATATAAAATCAGATACATTTATCAGCATATATATATATTGTACTCTGCTGTAAGCTCTCTTTGTATCTCGTATAAGGCAAGGGTTAGAATTAATGGTGAGTGTTGGAATATGCTGTCAATACTAAGAAATTCAACACACTTTTCAAAAAATTTTAGCATATTTACATATGTACATACTTAACTAAAAAAGATTATGGCTCTTCTTTTGCTGAGAATAGAAGAGGTTTCGCGGATTGGATTATGGTGTTCTCGTACAATAAAAACCATTGGTGTGTTGCGTATACCGACATCACTGAAACTTTTGAAAAATCTTTATTGGAACAGGCGAACGGAATGAAAGGGATGAATAGATAGAAAACCGAAAATAAAAAATAACAGAAAGTAAGTATTTGAGAAATTTTATAAGAAACGCAAACCAAAAAAATTCGAGCAGAGTTGCCATCCTCTTCAAAAGGAAAATTAATAAAACATTTTAAAGCAGTTTCCACTAATCTCAACTAAATTATATTGTAAATTTAAAAAACAATATTAATTCATTTTCATCAACCTCAAAGCTCTATGAGACGACGTTTCCTTCTGGGTGTTTCAAACTTCGTGGCAAACTTAATATACCCTGTTCAGGGTATAATAACTTGAACTCACTTCTTCTCAGCTACTTCTCATACTTTTGCTTTTACTCAACCATTCATCAATACATGTATACCGGCATACACACCGGGCGCACTATTGGCGATGATACAATGTACGCCACGTGAATGCTCGTGTTCGCTCCTAAGTAAGTAAGTAAGGAAGGTTTTGGGTCTATTTTGAGTTACCAAGCAGCTGTAAATGAAATGAAATGTATACTTTATTTGAGTATGAAGAAGAAGAGCATATAGAAATATTCTACTAAACTTGTTGCTGAAGTGAGTTGATCTCTATATCTATTTAAATTCAAAAATGGGTAAAGAGCCAAAAACTTGTGAGAAATAATTAATATACAAGGATTTTGAATTAAAGTATTGATGATTTATCAGAAATGTGCAGATCGGACAGCTAAACCATATCTGTATGTAAGTGCATATATATATGTGTGTGTGCGGATTCCCATCTCCACCATTCCATTTATTGATTCACTTAAAGTTTACAACTCAGAAATTCAAATACCAAACTTTCACTTTGCAACACTCATGCACTTGTTGTTGACAAAAGTTGCCAGCAACGCTCTGACTGGAATATTTGCCGTTGTTGTTGATATTAGTGTTGCTATTGCTGCTGTTTATATTGTTGTTGATATTATTGTTGCTGCTGTTGTTGTTATTGTCGCTGTTGATATTTTTGTTGCTGCTTGTTGTTGTTGCCGTTGCCGCTGCGCATTTGATTGTCAACAGCAAAGCAGCAAGTGCGCACCAACTTTTCACTTCTGCGCGCCAAACACGCTCAACTAAGGTGTTGGAACGCACAAATATATTTGCCACTGATGCTTCTTCTTTTTTCGTTATTTCTTTTTACTCATTTTTCTTTCTCACATTTCATTTATTCTTGCATTTTTGTTGCTCGGCTGCTGTTGCTCTAACATATCATCTCACATTACAAACATATCTTATTCGATATATGGGTGTTGCTTTCGTTTTTGTTGCTACTGTGGTTTCTACCGTTTTTAATTACCGACTGCTGTAATTACTTCCTCGGAAGAAGCAAATGAATATCTGTTACCAATAAAATGCAAGTTTCTAACGTATATATGTATGTATGTATGTATGTATGAGTATTCATTTGGAAAATGTGCTCGTTGTATGTGTAATATACACACGCTCATCAATTCTGCGCTCTTAATAATTTTCTTATACTTTCATCTGCATAAATCGCATAATGATTGGTTTCAAATTTATTGAGATTGCATTGCATTTGTAATGGTGTACATCAAAATAATTATTAACAGTGTTCACTTTTAATTTTATATTTTATTAAAAGCGTGAAAATTTTAGTTTTAATTGCAAAGCAAATCAATGAATTTTGCAATAAATTATTTATTCGAAGTCAATGCACTTTTCGTTTGAAAAAAACTACATACTACTTTCATCATTATTGACTTTAAGGGATTATATCCACTTGTGAATTACGACTTTTTTTTGCATATATATGTTTGTGTATATATCGAATGTACGCATATTTGAGACTACTCACCGAAAATTTGAAGTTGCATTGGCAAATAGTTTCAAAGATATATGAGCGTATGTATTTGTAAGAATTTTAGAATTAAGTGTAATCGGCTCCCAAAACCTTAAACCATTTTTTTTCGAAATGCTGGTTTCAGAGTCTGTGAGGAAAATTTCTCCGAAACGACGATTTCGACGAAGTCAATCTGAAATGTAAATTTTTTCACAAAAACATTTTTTTTTTTGCAAAGTCGCCTTATAATCAAAATTAAAAATTTTGACTTAACCTTCGAGCATTACTCGTATTCATCTATTGTAATAAAATAATTCAGATTTGAGATAATTTTAAACATAAAAATCTTCCTTTGGTCAAACAATTTACTTCGGAGGTCCTTGTGGAGATTGACAACGGGATCAAGCGAATCCAAAAATTTCAAAATGAGTTCCGATGATTAAAGTACTCGTACATTCAATTCTGTAGATGTACATAATTTTTATTTTTAAGTATTTAATAAAATGCCCCTTCAAAATAAAATTCACAAAACAAAGTGCGTTTTTTCTGCCTTGCAAGTGGATGTGACCCCCTGATATAGATGTCTGAGAAATTAATATACCCAAAAATATCCTTAAATAAATGAAAAAAAATTATAATTTTACAATGCTGAGGTCGAAAGGTTTCCTTCGTGAAGCGTGAGCAAAAAAAAAAGTGAAATAATTTTTCGTGAAATGTCGTATACATATGTACTATATCTCGTAGCATAATTATATTTGAAAGAATTTTAACCCATATTTACTTTTGAAATTACGTTTAAAATAGAAACAGAGTTAAATACTTGTGTCTTTTTAGAGACAATGGATTAAACTGTTATACTAAATTATTGTAGATACAATTTTTTTTACTTCACAAGTTACAGTTAAAGATAAAATTAAAGTTGAAGTAGAAGTTAAGTTGAAGTTCCAATTACATTGAAAATGAGATATATGGTAAACTCATTGCATGCATTTTTAAATTTTACCCAGAAAACCCAAGAATCAATAAAAATAACTTTTCACTTTTCCGATCACAAGAAATGTAAAAATAGAAAGTGACTGGTGAAGAATAAAGCAAAGCAAAAAGAAGAGCTACTTATTTGTAGTTTTTGTATTTGAAACTCCCTGAGGTTAAAAAACACTTCTATACACACGAAACGAACATCCGAATACAAGCGGGGAAACAATGCCAACAAAAACAATAAAAGGCCGGCAATAGCAATTGAAAACAAAGAAAA